ACCGCGGTCCTAAAGTGTTTTGGGAGAGAATGAGCTGTGCTGCTCCTGCTCCTGTCCTTTCCCCCATCCTTTGCTCAGGTCTCCCCTGCTCTGTGCAAAGGTCTGGGGAGCAGCTCCTCCATCCACTCAGATGATGACTTCAGACCTCATTTCTTATTAGTAACACAGCTGAAGACAGGCAGGAGGAGGGGGGATAAGGAAGAGATGGAAAATGACAGACCCTGCCAACAACTCTCTAGCTCCTCTTGGTGGCAAGTGCTGGGAGAGCAAGTTCCCAGGGTGCTTTTTCCCCTCTGGATAGCTTGCCCTGTGAATGTGAAGTAGGTCATATGGCATAACAGTCTCCATAAAGCTACATTGCTTGACGGACATGACATCTTCCAGAGGCCTCAGTGCAGCAATATTAAAAATAGACAGCATTTGCTTGTGTTCATCTTAACAAGTGATCCAGATTGCTTTGTTGCAATGATCAGTCCTTATAATTATTTACCACTTTCCCAATCATTGTCAGTCATGATTTTATGGTTTTCTTTCAGGTCATTGAAAGAAAACAGAGTTGGGCCAAGAACAAGGACCTAGAAACAGACATACTTTATGATTTCCCAATGAAAATTATGTTATAAAACCTATCAGTTAGCTAGTGTTTACCTCATTTAATGTGACTTGTTAATTTTATATTGTTCTTGTTTCTAGACCCAAATGTTGTACAATGTCAATATCAAATGCTTTTAGAAGTCTTTTGCATCAACACTAATACTTTTTTTTTTATCAACAAAGCTTAAAAATCCATTTAGACTTAATTCTCATACTCCCATTCTTTATTAATTAGGTCCCATATTATGCATTTCATTACTTCTCTAGGCAGAAGGCATGGTAGGGTGAATCCTCAGAGACTAACTGGTTCAGAAAGATGGAAGCTTTTATAAACTACAGCCTACTTCATCAGATGCTAGGGATTCCATTATTTTGCTAAGGATGAATGTCATTGCTTGGGACAAGTCTATAATTACCTGGATCACCCCCTTCCTTTTTTAAAAAAAATAGGCAAAGCATTAGTTTTCTTCCAATCTTCTGTATTGTTCCAAGACCTACTAAATATCAACATAAACAGCCCAGAGAGAAATTCCAGATGGGTTTTCCTTCCATGTAATAAGCTAACTGCAGCATCTCAGGAATAAAATAAATAGTGGGCATTAGTAATTGAAATTCCTTTCATTTATTAAAAAAGTTAACCGAGAAAAGAAAGGCTTAGATAACTGCTGGCGTGTCCGTGTAGGGTAGCATGGGCTCCCCTGGTTCTCGCCTGCCATGACTTTGTTCTTGTTAAGAAAATGGGAAGGAAAGTGATGATATGAGAATTAGTACCTGCGGAAGGACCACGCTTGATCTATTTTAATAATCTTAGTGCTTTTTATTCTCTCTTATTCTTATTACAGGAAACCTGTTGGGAGGCAGCAGCTTGTCAGAATTGTCCTTGGAGTCACCCCTGTACTCACCAGAGCATCCCCAGCCCCTTACTTGGGACAGTAAGTGAGGTAGTGTGCCTGCTTGCTGGTGGCTGCGTTGAATCATCGGTGTCCACAGGGTCCCTTCCGTGTCCCCTGCCCTGCGAAGTGAGTCTCCAGGCTTCTCAGTCATGCCTGAGTCCTAGCCCACTCCCCATAATTGAAAGAAAGTAAAAAGGAAGAAAAAAGAAAAGTTTCCTTTTGTTCTGTTCCTGCCACTAATTGACTCATTAGCGGCTTGTTACAAATGCCACTTGTCTTCTTTTGCCGTGCGGCGCCAGCGTGCAGGTTCCGCGGTTCTCCCGCGGTTGGGGCTCACCTTCTCGGCCCCCTGCGTCCCTCTCCCCTTGGGTCTAGAGGTTGCTGGGTCTTGTCAGGGGTCTGGACAGGTGGTGCCACTCCCGCCACCCCCTCGGCTTAAGCAGCCTCTCTGCTCTCTGGGGCAGACCGCAGCTGCTTCCCGCAGCATGGCTCTGCGCTCCCTCACACTCACCGCTGTTCCAGCTGACTCCCGGTAAATTAAAGCGTGGATCTGGGCTCCGGGATCCCTCTGCTCCCACTGATCTGGCGTTGGGGATCTTTCCTCTGGGATCCTTCTCTGCAGAGCATCTCCCTCGCAGCTCCTCTCTCTCTGTGGTGCCCAAAGGCACTTAGTCCATGCCCCGCCACTCATTTTATGCTGGTTTTGGCGGGCTAATCACCTGAGCTTCCCTCAGGTGTGTAATTCCCCTCACCTGGCAGGGTTCGTTGTCGGATCAGTCTAGCCCAATCTTGCCTAAGTAACAGGGCTCCTGCCAGAGTCCCTGTTACAATAACCCACAGTGCTTAAATAAGCAACAGTGTTTTTTGCATCTGGAAATGGGAAAAAACCCCTCTCTGCTCTATTTTTCCCCACGTTACTAGGTCTCCTAGATGTCACCTGTACAGTACAAGAATTGTATATGTGATCATTTTAATCTTACTATTTATTGTTACATTTTTCTGCAAACACACATAGTTTAGCATTATTAAAATTAAAGGCTTCAAGTTTCAAATGCTATTTGATTAAAAAGAATTGATTTATTAAATGAAAAATATATGCAAAACTAAGTCTCTGAAGCACTCTGAAGTATATACACTTACAGAATTATGTATAACAAATTATTATATAACCCACAAAACAACAATTTCTTAACCAGCAAAATCATGACACTTATACAGCTAAGACATTTGCATTCAATAAAAAAATACTACATTATGATTCATAGCTATCTATATTAGTAGAAATACTCAGTTTTAAACTATTTAGCTACTGTCTTTTCAGTCAAACTTTGGTTTATTTCTTTTTTCTTTTGAAGGCCTGTAAAATCATTGCCATGTCATTCTTGATAATCCTGTTTACCACAAATATTTCCAGTCAAGTGTAGAATGAGATCTACTTGTTGGAAATTATTTAAATTGAAAAACCAGAGAAGAAATAAAAGTCTGAACAGCAGGAAGAAAACAATATCACCCTTCAACCACATAGCCATATGTATGCCTATATTTCAAAGAAATAAAGAACTGAATTAGTCATTTGGTCGAATAGATCACATTCACTTTTTACATGCACTTTTCTGTTTTATTACAAGATCAAATCTTTTTGTCAAATGAACCACAATGAAACATAAAGCAGCTACTAACCACATTTACATGTGCATATCAATGTGCTACAATAAACTCCAATGTTTGTCACACTAGAGTTTATTTACACATGCACCCACGACTGCAGCATATTGAGCTTTGTCATAGTAGTCCTGGCTGGCAGGAGGTCCAGGGGAGTAGCCTACCAGTCTGGGGCTGCTGCCCCTGGTTGAACATGCTGCAGAGTGGCTGGTTGGGGCATGAGGGTGCTTCAGTAAGGGGCTAGCCTGCAAGCAGTCCCTGTACTGAAGCACACCCAGGCTCAAGCCAGCCAGGGCAGCATCTACACATACACTGCTTTGGAGCTTTTACTCAGCTGCAGGTTAGTACTTGTATTTTAAAGAGTATTTACAAGTACTATCCTGTGCCAGAGTAAATTAGTTTACTCCAGTTTAGTAGGGGCACGTGTAGATGTGCAATGTTTACTGCACAGCTAATTATTCAAGTGCACAGTAAACATCTCATGTAGATGCACCCATTGAGTAACACTCTGATCCTGCAAACACACATGCACAGTGTATTTTGACTACCAAGAATAGCCCCCTTGATTTCACTAGTATTACTCCCAGCTGTAAAATTAAGCTAAAGTTTGTTTGCAGGCTAAAAGGGCCTAATCTGATGCCATTGATTTAAAAAGTTGCTAATGATTTGAAAAGTGACATAGCTTCTGATGAAAACTATTCAGTTCTTGCATTTTGTCTATACCTGTTGAAAGCAAATTTGGTAACAAACAAGAAATTCTATGAATATTTTTAGAAGGCTTATATTTCAGTCTATGTTTTTGATGTTTGCCATTTTGATGTTTGCTCCAGGTACCCTCCAAGCTAGTTCAAGCCTCTGGAGCTGGCCACCAATCAGCTGATTGGGGGCAGTAATAGTGTGGGGGGGGGGGGTTCTGGTATTTGCCAGTGATTCGAAAATTCAGATCTTCACAGCTGGAGTCTAAATGATATCTTAGTAGTATAAGCAGGAACAGAATCTATGAAAAGAGAAAAAGTATATTCATTCAAATTTCAGAACTATGATCATGCTCATGTTTCCATTTAATTTCAATACTGAACTACAGAAATAAATGTTTTTTGTGCCAATTTAATAGATTCTACTGGTCTGTGCTAGACAGGACATCAGACGAAATGATCAATGCCTTTTTGTTTTTAACATTAAATATACGGACCTACTGAGTGGGGTTTTCTGGTTTGTGTCAGTTTTACTTCATGAGATTAGTAGAAATAGGTAGAAACAATTATTTGAATGTATATATTTATTTGCAATTCACTTTTACAAAAAACAGTAGTGACTGTTTATTTATTTTTGCTTCCATTTATGCACTCGCACTTGTAGCAAAAATCCAATGCCCGGGGCCCCATAACAATTTTTGAAGAATGCACTAAGAAACAAACCTATCTGCCAGTTACCAGACAAAATCAATAGCCCAGGAAAAACAAAAAACTTAATAGACTTCCTCACAAAAATTAGCAATCACAATCCTATACTGTAATTCCCCAGCTTCATTCAAGACAAATAGCCTCAAATGAAAGGTGGTTTAGGTAGTAAGCAGAGCATACTAGATGCCATACTGAAACTACTGGGATGTGCTGAAATGTTCAGGAACAGACAGGGAATAAAACATGACTGCATACTGTTTCATACACATCTTCATGACCTATAAGGCCAGATTCTCAAATATCATCTCATATTTTCTCCCTTTTTTTCCTCTTTCTCCAGATTCACATTCTTGTTATTACTAAAGCCTGAACTGTATTCTTTTAGAATGATGATTACTCATGAACATAAGGCTTATTCAATTATACTGTTCTTATTCTGTAGAAAAATAAAGCCCAGCATTAGAGCACAGGATGAAATTCAGTACATGGCCATTATGCTAGACCACTCTGGGCTAGAATCCAAACTATCCAGACTTGTGCAAGACATGGGCAACTGGTGCCTCTTGAGTCTGGGGGGGCACCCGCAGAAGCCACCGGGGGTGTCAGCGGCAGGGGCAGAGCTGGTGAGCACCTGCAGACACCAGTGGCAGTGGCAGGGGCAAAGCTGGCAAGCATCTGCAGACGCCAGCCCTGTCAGGGGTGGCACGTGCCCCCCTGTGCCCCACCCTGCCACCAGTTGCCTATGGTGCAAGGTATTAGGATCACTAACGTTATGTGATGATCACAAAACCCACAGTCATCTTTGGAACTTCTTTACTGCTGTCTTTTGAAGGGCTATTATCCAGCCACTATGATATGCACCGTCCAGCATAATATGCATGGAATAAGGATGTATCGTAACAGTCACTCCACTGATCATTATTTGTTCACATTTTCATTAAACTGAACAGAAACTTTCAGGTCCTCTGGTCCAGGGTGAATTTTACATTAGTTCCCTGAAATACCCAAATGCATGGAACACAAAAATAGATGTCTAACTTAGTAAACTGTGATATTTAAAAATACTGAACGACAGTTCCTACAACATGTTCAAGTATTCTGTGTATGCACTATGGCAGAAGTGATGTTTTGGAAACACAGTGATTTCAAAGCCTATTATTTTGGCATGTGGCATAAAAATGGCTGTATCGAGGCAAAAGTAGTTAGGTATATCTTTGTATTCCACCTCAGTGTTGGAGGTATAGGGAGAAGGACCTGCAAAAACTAAAAATAATTGGAGGAGTAATTAATACAACTTCCTGAGTAGGTAAACAAGCTTGGGAAAAAGCCTTCCCCAACCTGGGGCAATTACATTTCTTGCTTTGAACTGATTGAAGAAAGCTTCCAAACAATGAACTCCAAAGGGTACAATATGAACAGGTGCTCCAGGGACAATGTCATTTTTATTGGATCATCAGGTACAAAACTGTGACAGACTGGAAGAGTCAACTGACAAATTTGGGTAACATACTTGCCAGAAGTTCATGCAGATTATGGGTTATAATCAATATGATACCTTTTTTCTGTGCTGCTTTTGTCCTAAAACAAACTGTACCATGTTTGTTGAAAGTTGGTTTCTCACTGCTTAACACCATTGTCATTCCAAAGAGAACAGAATTCAGCCTCTGGGCTACAGTCAGATAGGCTAATAGGAGCACGAGAGTTGCTAGGAAGCAACAGCCCTAAACCCAAATGGATGTAAGTCCTGAATTGAAAAAGGTGAAAGCTGGAAGCCTGAGGCTAGACCATGGTGCCCTTGTAGAGATCACGGAGGGTCAGGTATACAATGACCTGCACCAGGTTCTATTCAAGGTAAAGGACAGATGTCCTTCCCTAGCCAAGGTAATATACTGCATGATTAAGGTGCCAAAGGCACACACCAAATGGGAGTGATGGGGCTAGCATCACATCCAGCTACCTTTGACTTCCTGCATAAATGAGCAAGAACCTGCTTACAACTGGATGTGTAGGATCTGATTTTCAGAGTGAGTGCAAGGCACTCAAACTCACATTTCTGGATCTGCATCAAGATGCTTTAAGCACTCTGCCACTGTGGCCCAAGAGCCAGTAAGTTAAACTAATAAAGGGCAGTATTCACAGAATGAAATGTTCCATATCTGTAATGTCTGCATGGCACAGAGACTGATTATTGTACACCAGAAGAAATCTAGTGTACAGATGCCACAGTATTAGCACTCTAAAAAAATATAAAGCAAGTACAGTGATTATTTACTGTATTCATATTCACATGTGGATGCTGAAAGTGCCATTCTAATTTTATTCATATTCTAAGAATTCAACTTCTGTTCTATTCATTAAAAGCATAACATGTTTTCTGATAGTGATCCAGAACAGTCAGGAACAGTATTTTGGCAGGAATTACTTTGTATAAAATCATATAGTAAATGATATATTTGCTATCATGATGGCAAAACCAGTGAACTGAGTCTGAAAATTTCTACCATGATATAACAAAGCAAAATTAGCATCATAGTTTTTGTTTGTCAAAACTAAGATTGGAATCTGGAGTGTTTTATTCTTTAGCATATCTTTTCCTATTTATTTGTATTATCCATCTATATTTGTAATGCATCACAAATGTACATACATTAAACTCTTTGAGGCATGGGCAGTCCCTTTAAGGTGTATGCAGCATATAGTGTAATGCAGACCTACTCTCTAATAAGGATTTATTGGCACACCATAATAGGAATGACCAATATTGAATTTTGATCCCACAATTGAGTTTGTATATGTTTTTCAGATCCAGAACTCTGGTTCTGGCCTTACAGTTTATCTGAACATACTTAAAAATACAGCTTATTGTTTTGAAAAAAAGACACAAAAGTCTCATCTAATATAATATAGCACTTTAACCATTCTAAAAAACATTGTATGTCTTGTACTCTTAGTCTTGTTCCCACTTTTCATAAAAATTCATGGTATTGCTTATTTCTATATATAAACAATGCACATTATCTTGATGCAGCCTGGAAAGCTTGTTGAAATCTATGTTTATACCAGAAATAATAACAAATTTATTGGAAGTTTAGCACATACCTCTTTCCTTCAGATCTTCAATGTAGGTTTTCATAAATTCTTTCTCAAATTTTTCCCGATCACGTTCACTTTCTATTTCTTCAGTTTCTTGACATGGGACTGTTTCATAATGGTTATCCTTGAGGCTTATAAATCTGCAGAGAAAGAAATATTAACATGAAGGGGTTATAACTTTTTAACATGAGCTGATTGTAATTCATTTTCAAATGATTTATTGTAGTTTTTCCCCCTTTCCAAGTAATAATTTGAACTGATCTATGGAGAGGCATGGTATGTATTAACTTTTCTTGGTTCAAGTGGACCACCCAGCACCGTCTATGAATGAATCAAAAGTCCTTTCAGTTTCACTGGCCAACAGCAATGTTAATTTAGAAGCGGCCAATTGGAGATGGAAGTGAAAGCATTAAAAATATAGGGTGCCAGTACTTGAGCCTGGAGGCTGCTCCAACATGCTATAATTACAGCATATCAGAGCAGACTTGCTTAACTGAGTCTGCTGAAGTGTGGCAATTACCATGCTCCAGCCAGCCTCCATATCTTGTGTGTCAGTGTCCCCACTCTTTAAAATGCTGGCGGGGGCACTTTAACTAAAGCTCGTTCAATAAGCTTTAAAGCATCCCTGCTGCCATTTTGAAGCACAGGGATACTGATACATGAGACACTCTAGGCACTTTCATTTAATTAGAGCAGCTCTAATTAAAGCATACTCCTCCCACACCTGTGGAGCATGTATAAAAAAATTTGCCCATATTGGCAATGAAATGTGTTTCAGGATCCATCAATTAAGGATCACATAAATATTCTAGATAATACTATTTTTACACACAATTTTTCATAATAACATTTAGTACATTCATACAATGGTATTGCATGCAGAAGCAGTATTTTAGCTATTAGATGTGTCTGGACACACCACAATATCTGTACCTCTCTAATATAAGTCCCCACAACCATACAGTTGCTACCAGAAATTGAACCCATCCTTCCTACATTGCACAGAATTCTGGAATTGTACCAGAAGTCCTTTGATATGTAAACTTCCAAGCATCCATTGAAAGACATACAGCAATCACTGTTATGCAAATTTTTTAAACCAGTGCTTTGAAAGTGAAAACAATATGGTTGCACACAAAGCAATGCTATGTATGAATTATGTCTACAAAATTTTGAAATTCTTGACATAGGTTATCACTCCAAGACTGCTGACAGATGTTCAGTTAAAGGCGTGATCGGATCTAATCCACAATCCCAACAACTGCACCTCCTGCCATGCTACACATGCATAGCAGGATGTAGAATTTGGGGACTGGGGAATCAGACCCCAATTGTGCCCTATCTGCCAGTACAGGGGGAACCTGGGATCATGATTCTGGGGTTTCTCTGCACTGGCAAAGATGGCCAATAATTAGCTGATTGTCAGCTGGCTCCAGGGACCCTCCAGGTTAGTCCGAACCTCTGGAGCTGGCCACCAATCAGCTGATCAGAGGGCAGTATGGGCACTACACCACAGCTCATATGGTCCCCAATCAGTCCCTGCCCAATGTCAACCATCCAGGGCACTCGTGCTGTTCCTAGGAGTAGGCAGGTACTGCACCAGGACACATTTGATCCCCAGTGCAGTCCCCATGCCACGTGTTCATTTTAAGGTGCAATGAAAACCAGCCACAAAATTATTACATATTTTTGTGTAATAATTTTGTGGCTGATTTTATTTTTTATTGGACCATTAATTCCCTGAATGTGTGGCTGCATTACGCTTTAAGACATGATTAATCACTTCAACACATCTTAAGTGCAATGTCTGCCAGGGGCCAAAAACAGCAAGAAGAAAATCAATCACTAAATTTACCACAACCTTGAAAAGAAAGTGTTGGTGAGACAATAAAATCTCCAGGGCAGAGCATACAAGGTAATTAGGAGTATGTCAAGCTGCTAGGTCTGCAGCTCATGTACACCTCTACAAGATAGCTTTAAAACTAGCTAATTCAGGTTCTGCTAAAGGCATAGCTGTTTAGTGCAGAACCCAGTGAGGGCAGACTGTGCGAGTATTTACTTTGCTTCGTATGTGAGTCTGGCAACCCATAAGTCTAATATCACTACCCAACCTGCTGTCAGGGCAATGTAGATATACCATCACACAGTAGCATGCCTCAGTGGTAGGTAAAAAATCAAGAAACCCATGGACACATCTACACAAGACAGGGACAGTACTATCTTATGGTGTTGAAAATAACTGTGCCTAAATGCACATTTAAACACTAAACCAGGAGTAAATTCTGTCTGGCAGCAGAGGGCCAGACCCTTGCCTGCCACCTAGCTCCACTCTTTGGGCACTCTCGTGCCCTGGCCAGCCCCTCTGCCACCCGATGCCATGACCCAGAGCCTGGGGCTGACCCTCTGAACCTGCTGCCAGCCTGGGGCTGCTCCACCCCAGCTCAAACTACTTTGGTCCTGGGTGCACGTGAAGATGCTGCACCCAGAAGCAGCTGACTCTGGTGCAAACTATGCCAGAGTTTATTGAGACTCACTAATTGCGCATGTAAATATGCCCACTTTTACTTACTTTAAACCTGTGGTTGATTCACAAATAGCTGTGGGCATCTCAACCAACTCTTCACCGCTGACTACCAGCATACTGAGTTTTTTCATATTGATCAAAGCCTGTGGAAGATAAGTCAGCCTGTTCCTGTGCAGGAGAAGCGTTTGAAGTTGATCTAGCCTAAAGAAGCATAACAGAGGAAAAAGGTTCAAAAACAATATATTTTTTTATAAACATATTTTATTAGCCACATGTATCTTATTTAAACATCACCTGCTAATATCTTCTTCTGCCATCATCTACTAGAAATAGTAGGAAAATATTCACATAACCCATTTTCCTTTAGCTGTCATATATTTCAACAGTACTTTTCATTAACTTCAGTGGGAAGCTTCATGCATAGTCTGATAACAGAGATGAAATGTTAATAATATATCTGTGAAGAGAATTGAGACGAGTGTCCAAGACAGATGGTCAATCAGCACTTTTTTAGTGAGGGTATGGGCACATGATGCCATGTAAGGTAACATCATGTAAAACTTTCTTCTAACCATCTCACTCTCAGGAACTAATACAAAAGTAAGACCCACAGTTCATGATTTTGCCCCACTCAATTTTATGCATGTGAGAGATAGTTTCATAGTTTCTAGGGTCGGAAGGGGCCTGAGAAGATCATCTAGTCCGACCCCCTGCCATGGCAGGAAAGAGTACTGGGGTCAAACAACCCCAGCAAGGTGTTCATCTAACCTCTTCTTAAAAACCCCCAGGGTAGGAGCCTGCACCACCTCCCTTGGAAGTTGGTTCCAGACCCTAGCCGCCCTGACCGTGAAATAGCGCCTTCTGATGTCTAACCTAAATCTACCCTCTGCTAGCTTGTGACCGTTGTTCCTGGTCACTCCTGGCTGTGCTCGGGGGAACAGTGACTCCCCCAATGCCTTCTGATCCCCCCTGACCAGTTTGTAACAGGCCACAAGATCCCCCCTCAGCCTTCTCTTGTGGAGGCTGAACAGGTTCAGGTCCCGTAGTCTCTCCTCATAGGGCCTGCCCTGCAGTCCCCTGATCATGCGAGTGGCCCTCCTCTGGACCCTCTCTATGCTGTCCACATCCCTCTTGAAGTGTGGCGCCCAGAACTGGACGCAGTACTCCAACTGTGGCCTGACCAGTGCCGCATAAAGGGGGAGGATCACCTCTCTGGACCTGCTCGAGATGCATCTGTGGATGCATGACAAGGTACAGTTGGCCTTACTAACTGCCTCCCCACACTGCCGACCCATGTTCATCTTGGAGTCAATGATGACTCCAAGATCCTTTTCTGCCTCCATGCTGACAAGAGGGGAGTTCCCTAACCTGTAGGTATGGTGCTGGTTGTTCCTCCCCAAGATATATGTTTGAGCCATGCAGTTGCTTTCACTAATAATTAATACTATGTGGAATAAAATAAAAAAGAAAACCTCATTGGCAATGTGTAGGGGGTGCACATGTGGTGCATGTGCATCCCCCGAGGTCGGTGGTGCACCCCCTGGAAGTGCCAGTTGCAAAACCGGAAGTGCCACTGGAAGTGCACTTCTGGTTTCGCCTCCCCCCCACTGGCAATTGGCCACTGAGGGACAACCCCCCCAATCGACAACCTGGTGCCCCCCCAGACTCGGGAGGCACCAGTCACCCATGCAAAACCTGTTCATGTGTTTCTCTTAAATTATCCCATTGAAGTTATTGTAAATGCCAGTATCTTACAGATGAGGAAAGGTTCCTTCCTTTATTTTGTTTCCTTTGCCCTGACCTTTCCTTGATACAACAAGCATTTGGGGTAAATACTTGGAAATGAATGTATAGGGCAAAAAGTGTCAAAACCAAGGGTTTTTCCTCTTAGAAGGTGTGCTGGTTCCACTGCTAAAACAGTGATATGATGCTATTGCATAGCAGGCTCATGTTCCTTTGAGTTCTAAAAGAGCTGATAAGTGATGCTGCAGCACATTTACAGTTTTTGTGATTTTTATTATGAATCTCATTTTTGGTATTTTTTTTCTTAAAGCCTCAGAGGCTAGAATCAAAAGATTGCATCAAAATATCTGTTTTCATTACTACAAGCAGGGAGTTTCTATTTCTGTTGTTACTGAGCAAGCTTGAAGCAAGTGCATTCTAAATGTTCAGAAGCCAAAAAGCAAAGAAAAAGAAAGGAACATTTATTTTTAAAGAGCAACCTCCATGACTTTAACCCAATTGCCTGTTGTTGCTGTTTTCTGAGGCTGTATTCATCATTTTAAAAGTTGGGGTGGCAATGCTACATTCAGAACAAAAAAAAAGTTTGAGGAGCAGATAGAACAAAAGCATAAATTTGCCCAAACTGACAGAACACCAGGGATAAGTGTTAAAAAGGGGACTGCCCAGGCAAAAATGGGGTATATAGTCACACTTCCTAATACTAATGCATTTTCTGGGTGTAGAGTTCTGTTTGTGGGGTGTCTTTGCTCAGCTCAATGGATAATCACTGTTTTTTATAAACTGTAGCCAACATATATTTGTTTTAGTGAAGCCTAAATAAAGTTTATTAACGCTACAGGAATTCAAAGTGGGTACATTTTGTCCTGAGGATAACAGACGATAACAGATGAATCCTTTCTCCGGCTAGCTAACGCCTTTCAATAGAAAATTGTCAACTTACAATTTTTTAAGTTAACCAATATTTTTAAAATATGATTTTTCAGAGGCACTCACCTTTACATTGCATTTATTATGTTTGTGGGGTGAGAGAAAAGGATTGCAATTTTCTTTTTTGATCTTGCAATCTTTTTTTCTGCTTCCCTACTGATGGATATTAGGATTTTCAGCCATTTAATATTTGTTGCGACTTGTCCTTTATCTTCCTCTTCGGGGGGCTGCATACTTTCTTAGTTGCAATTTTGCTATACATGTAATAAGCTCCCTGTTATTGGTTCCAGGAAAAAAGTGAATGGAGCATCATGTAGGTGTGATGTCATACTGCTCATATATAAAACAGGAAGTACAACATGCTAACTGCACAGGTGCCAGAAAATTGAATAAATGAAAGGTTTATTTCCTATAATATATTTCAGTAAGGGACATTTTCTGATGGGACACTTTTTCTATAATATCTTTCAGCAAGGGACATTTAAATACTGTGTTTCTTTCTTCACATCATTTCTTGTTCCTAGTTTTATCTGTGAATGACAATGGAAAAAAAGATTACCTGTCTATATCTTGTGGGAGATCTTTCAGGTTGTTGCTGCTCATATCCAACCACAGCAAGTGTGACATGCGGAGCACACAAATGGGAATAGATGGGAACTTGTTTGCTGAAACATCCACAAATGTGACTTGCTTCAAGTTACTTAGCTAGAAGGGAACAATGCAACATTTTAGTTACAGTTCATGGAATACCTTATGATAAAATTACTCTTTGAATAAATATTATGCTTCCCAGGCCACCTGAAAAAAAGTGAGGATTGCATTATATTTCTACTTTGCACTCAGGAAAGGGGAGGGATTGTGTCCTAGATCAACCTGTGGAAACTTTAGAAAATTTTATGAAATGCTATTTCCCTTTTAAGTAAGCATGAAGTCTGGGAAAGCAGATATTAGAAGCGGATATTGGCTCTGATCTTCCCCTAGATAGTACAGAAAACTACCAACCAGGTAATAAAACACAGTTCTGATAACTAATATAAACTAAATTGCTATTTTTAAAAGCACCACCGAGACTTTGTTTCCATTGACTTTAAATAGAGTTCTTTGACTAAAAATGTGTGTAATGTATTGAAAATGTATTGCTAAGAGACCACTTAAGAAATGGATCCATACCAGTTCAAAGCAGCTGAGAATTTGAGCCAATATTTTTTAAAGTAAAACTGTATTCCAAACCAAATATGTAATAAAATGCACTAGAGCCTTTTATTTGAATACCTCTCAGAGGAACTGTATTTTTGTTTACATACTAAACTTCTAGTGCAACCACAAATATAAGTATACCCATAAAAGAAATAAATGTGTTAAATAAAGCACTCTGTGTACTGAATCAATTACTCACATTACCAATATTCATAAAATTATGCAACTATCTTAAGTGATTGTTAAAGGATTAGAACTGTTAATACAAAAAGAAATATTTTACTGTGAAAGCAATGTCTTTAAGCTTCTAAGCATGTATGTTTTAAAATTTAGAGAATTAAAACATCATAATTCACTTCCAGATGGAATTGTGGGCCCATCAAAAGATAGGATCATGGCCTCTGGGGAGAGGTTATCATCACGTACCACATACATGCATTCATTGAATGTGGAGAACACAGCACCTCTAATAAATGTAAGCAGCTTGAGCAGATACAAATAGCCAGAGGCATGATCTTTGCATTCTGTATATTTAGCCTTATGGCGGTGGACATTTCAAAGAGTAAAACTGGAAGCAAACTTTTGAAGTTGTTCTCAAGGCAAGTAAATAGTTAATATCCTGCATATACTTCTGTAAAAAAAAAGACAAATGGATCCCACGCAAGATCTGTCAGCAATGGAGTAAAAACAATGCCCCAAACAACCAGATGTCCACACAAAGGTTGCCAAAACCTTCCCAAGTAACAAGATCCCTCATCTCCCACCTCCAAGAAGTCCAAACTGGTATCACCCCTCTACAAGCTTTGAAGCACTTCTACCTTCTCAAATGACTGCAATGCTGCAATAGATCTGTAATGTTAATGCACAATGCTGTGAGAAACTGAAATTTCAGCACCAATAGCCTAAAGTAAACAAGAAAACCTACACAACCAAAATGCTTTATTGAATTAAATATTAAAAGGAATATTAGTATAGTATGGCTGTGTTTTATAAGTATGGCAATTTTCCCATTTATTATATGGTGTTGCATAAAGACCTTTTTAAATATTTAATTTAATAAAATTTAAGTGTGTTTATAATCCCACAAAAATTTGAATTTGCCTCAGAAATCTGATGGATCAGTGATCTTGATAAAAAAACTTTGGTTCAGCATGCCACAAAATATATGAAATTCTGATTATACTGTGGAGACTACAAGCCCTCAGTGGACTTGCTTTTAGGGCAATATTTAATAAAATCTGTCTGGTTTCTACATTGTGCTCAACCCAAATAAAAAAAATATTTAATCCATCTCTGAAATGCCACCAATAAACCCCTGGGGCATATGACACCTTGGAAATTATGGCATCTATGTATTATATTTACTAGAAGAAAGTCTGTCTGTTTTATTTCCTTTTGATGGACTGATGGATTTTTGCACCTCCTGTAACATTTTGTTTTTAAACAAGTATAGTAACCTTATCATTTCACCTTAGCATTTATTTTTACCTAAGGCTTATTTTTGTTATTTTACTTTGTTATCTTACTTTGAATCAGTCAACATATAGGCTTTATGCAAGTTCCATTTTAAACACTACCTCTGTTTGACAGTCTAACTATTTGGAAACAGTTATTGTGGTCCTTAAGTTTAATCAACATTGTCATCTTTATTTGACAAACTACCCATATTGCTTCTTATCTTAATAATTTTACTTGTAAAAAAAATAATCTCTGTAGCATTCTGTAACTCCAGTGCTTTTCTTTTCTCTCTGACAGTTAAAGTTTCAGTTGAGAGAGAAGGACGCCATGTCCCTGAATTGAATGAGTTCTTTGATTAATGGGTGTGTTTTGATTTCTGCTTTATTTTCATCATTGAATAGGGATTTGCTGATAAGGTCTGTTGCATGTGGTTTTAGCATGAGCAGCCCACTGCATAGCATCAGCAAATGCTAAGGTCTGAAATGATGTCAATATCTAGTCAAAGGCACAGTTATCTTCAAGTAAATACAACTATTCCATGGTAGAAATGAAGTCTCAGTGAACACAACATATACCAGGAAATACCAAGAACTGAACCAGTCCTGTCCTTCTCTGTCTCCAAAAAAAAAAAAAAAAAAAAAAAAGGAAAGGGGGTGGAGGGGTAAGGTAATCTAACACAAGCAAACTCAGTTTTGTGAGAAAAACCTAGCTCCACTGAACTCAGTGGCCATTTTGCAATATTGTCTTGAACAGAGCCAAAATGTCTCCCATAGGGTGGAAGACTGGTACCTCAGTATCTTGCAGGAAGCCTTCAGCCACCTGCAGGAATGAGATATATCTGTATTATAGGGCTCTGCAAAGCTTTGGTTGCTGATTTGATTCAGAGGAGATTCAGCCCAATTTGGCAGCCAAATCTCTGAATCTGAATCAAATCGGGAGACCAATTAAAAGATCCAAATTGATTCAAAGCCTCCAAATCAATTCGGAAAAGATTCGGAGAAGATTTGGAGATTCGGGCAGTCCCTGCTTGCTGCCACAGGGACCTGGACTGGGACTCCATGCCAGTAAGTAGGGAGTGAGGGGTGTGGAAAAGACTTACCAGAAGAAACAGGGAGGTGGCAGGATGCTGCACTGGAAGCCAAACATGGAAGAAGTGAAACCACAGTGGATAGAACTGCAGTGGCAGAAGATCAAAGGGAAAAAAATGGCTGAGCAGTAAGGAGCTGAGAACGGCTCCCGCGTCTACATGGGCACACTTTATAAGCGTGCCAGGGCTGATTGGTCAGCCAGATGCCCGGGGCCAGGATAAAAGACCCAGCAGAAGTCAGGTCAGGGGGACCGGAAGTGGAGTCCCCAGTCGGCCTGGAGGGGCCAGAACTTGTGAGCAGTCCTGGCAACAGGACCTGGTGGGTACCCCAGAAAGGGGTCACCACAAGAATGCAGGGCCCAAGGATCTAATTACAGGGTTGACGTGGACCAAAGAAGGCAGCAGTGATGACTGGAGTCCAGCAGGACCCAGCAGCAGCGGGATCTGGACATGACTGTCAGCAGACAGGTACCAAACCCAGGGGAGAGGCGACGTGCCGGGGAATGGAATGGTGTTGAAGCCAGACATTGTACAGGCAGAGAGAAAGGTGGGGGCCATAGGAGACACTCGGCATTGAAACGTCATCACTAGCCTGCAGCCATAAGTTCCCTAGAGACTGAGTGCCATGAAGGTTCAAATCATCAACCTTGACGACACAGGTGACAACATCGCGGTTGATGTTAGGCGGGCTGTAGGGGAGGCGTAGCCCCACAAAGAAGGAACAGAGGGAACAACCAAGGGAAGGCACCCAGGGAGGCAGGACCAAACATCTTCCTCCCAATTATAATCATCAAAGACATGGCAGACAAGGCCCCTAGGGAACCAACCTAAAGTCACCCCAGTAATCAAGCTGTTCAGCCTGAAGAGTCACGGCGAGAAGAACCCACGCACATGACACCCAAGGGGAAAGACATGGGAGGTTTACGAGGTGGAAGGGGACCATTGGGGAAGCCCATCCCCTGCCTGCTCCCCCAGCCCCTCCCTAGCATCCCGGGCCTAGCATCCCGGCACTTTAAAAAAAAAAAAAAAAAAGCCCTGCACTCCCCAGCTGCTGCAGCAGCCATCAGGGCCTCTGGGAGCTTGTGGCAAGAGCCCCCAGTGCAGTGCAGGGTAATAATAGGCAGCAGGGATCGCACCCCCCCAACTGGCAGGAGATGGTGAGTTCAGGACGGGGCAGCCATTGACGGAGCTGGGAGAGCAGATGGGATGGAGCCTGTTCAATTTGGAGATTTGGCTGATTTAGTGGCAGGTGAATCTCTGAATCTGATTTGGCCAAATCAATTCAGGAAAGTGATTCAAATCACCGAATAAAATCACTGCCCCCTGAATCGTCCAAATCCAAAGCAAATACTAGTCATTTTGCACAGTCCTTATTGCAAAAAGGACAATTCTGGTCAGTGCTTTTGCTTTAACCATTAGATTGCTGACTCACTTTATTTTCCAATTTCTTTTGCATGCATTTTTTTAGCTTTAAATGTAATTTTTCTATCAACACAACAATGCTTTTCAGAAGAGTATTATATCTAAAAGAGACATAGGAGGCATTCCCTCAGAGCTGTCATTGTCTTTCATGCAAATATAGAAGAAGCATACAGTGTCTCTTCTCATCAAAGAAGACAAAGGAACATTCTCCACAAACCACAAGATATGTGCAAGTTCTTACCTAAGCAGTACAGTTCTAGTCATCAAAGAAGGAATATTTCACTGACCCTGAGAAGAATCTTAGCATCACAGACTTAAAAGGGACTGTGAGGGTCATCTAGTCTAATCCTGTACAAAGGAGGTAGAATTCACTGTTCCTATACCACCCTAGACACATACCTATTCAGCCTCTATCCTGAGCCTCCACTGAATCCAACTGGAGCAGTGCCTTTGAAAATTAAGCAACATTTATTCCAATGCCTAAATATGGATTAAGCTTTTTGTCTTTAAAAAATTATACGTCACTTAAAGAAGAATGTGA